TAAGCTTTGATACGAATAGTTATTCACAAACTCTGGTGTAAGAAACGCTTTGCAGAGCATGCTTAACAGTAAACCACAGGAAAGAACTGCTCATTAGCTTTTATTTCACTGGTCATACTTTATAGAATTTTTTCCACAGATATAAGAATCACTTTGTGCAGCAATAAAGAGCACAATAGAATAGTACTGCACAAAACCTAGAATCAACTTTTCAATGTGTGACTTAAACGCTTAACAGTCTTTTGCTCTGCTGTTATAAAGAACTGGCCGCGTGAACACACAAGAAATGAGATAAACCTTTAATCTCGTACTCAGATCTCTTATTGATGTAGCCGACAAGAGATCTGGGTACGAGATGAGTAAACCTTTCCTCCGGACCTTTTTAATGCTTGCATGAGTATATGTATGCAAATGATAACGTCGAAGAAACAACTTTTCAGTCGTAAAAGTGTATTTTGTTTTTCTTGTTTGCTTGGTGACTATTATTGGAAAAGCACTGTAATGTGGAACTCATTTTTCGCCGTAAACTAAAGCTAAACATTTCATTTTGATTCTCAGTGAGAAAAACAGTTGTACTGTGGAAATTTATTAAGGAGCTACTTGAGAAAAACGATCCATGTGTCAGTTGGATCTCACGAGAGGAAGGATCCTTCAAATTCGTCGACTCTAAGCAAGCCGCGAGACTTTGGGGCCAGCGGAAGAACAAACGAAATATGACGTATGAGAAGATGAGCCGCGCGCTACGTTACTACTACGATCGGCAAATCATGTTCCATGACGAAGGACAGAAACTTATGTACAGGTTTGGAGATGGGGCTAGAGAAGATAGAGGGCAAAGTGAACCTGATGAGTCGTAGAAGCTATATTTGAAAAGACCAAGGGAAAAAAATCATTTTCTAGTTGGTTAACAAGGGCCTGAAAACCAGGAGGAACCAGATTTCTGAAGAGGCTTTCCTAAGGTGCTCACATAAGAAGATTGTGCCTGAATTGACCAGTGGGTCTAAAAGGACTAAACTGGTGTTTAACGGATCTCTTTTAGATTAGAATAATACTTATTTTTTAATGCTTCATCATCTTCTTGATTCCTATCTTTTTTCTTAAATTTTATTATTTGTTTTTATAGAATATAAACAACTCCGAGCTGCAAAGCTTGTAAGTTTAATTTCAGAGGACTTGTTTTTCAAAAGAACATATTTTTTAAATAGAATCAAAAAGGATACAGACATCCGCATTTTGCGTTGTCTTCAACAAAAAAAATGCATTATGACTTATAGCAATGGCGTCTTTTTATACTTGTAAAGTCCTTTTTCTCGTTATAGGACCGGCTTTTTTTTACTAACGCTAGTATTAATATTGCGAAAGATTATAAGCTTATTGACCTTTATAGAAGGAGGGAACATATATTTTTATCGTATGAAATATAGGATAAAGACATCGATTTTCTTTACACTTGGATTTTAACGCAGAAACTTTGAAACTAATGAAACCTAAAATTTAGATTTTTCATTTTCCTTTGATTTTCGCTGCCAGCAAGTATAGTTCTGTAATTCTAGTAGACATACCTGATTAGAACAAATGGACATGTCGTGTTAGTCACTGTTTGGCTTCCGATGGAAGAGATGACATCAATTGCAATTGGCCACACTTTTGTGCTATCGGTCCAAAGCTTTTGTGGGAGAGAACATCAAGAAAACGAAGTGAAGTTCGCTATGGTGTTTTCACCCTCAATTGTCACTCATATTCCCGGATGTAGCAATAGCTTTTACCCATTGGTCCACACTTACTCTTATCTTTGTACTGAGATCATTCAAAAGGAAACTTCGTTCAAAAGGAAACTCTAGTCTCTGTTTGTACAAACGGACTTCAGTGTACTTAAGTGTAAGCACGGATTCTCAATCAAGTAGGTTATTATAATGATAGTGTTAAAAAGCAACAACAGCAACAACAAACAACATATTAAACAACAACAAAAAGCAGTACGTACATAATTTAGTGAAGACAATTTCTTCCTTCATTTGTCATTTACAAGACAATACGCGTTATGGATTAGAGCAATGGCGTCTTTCGGTTTATACTTGTCAAGTCTTTTACTCAAAAGACCAGTTCGTTTTTACCAAAGCATGCATATAGTATTAATAAGGCGAAAGATTACAAGTTATTTTTTTATAGAAGGAGTAGATAACTTGTTTGTAGTTTTATTTTTATTTGTTTTTTGGATTTTTATAAAATAATAATATGACTAAGGGCCGCATCCTAAAATAACCAAATGGTTTGTAACCCATCGCGTCCCGTTTCGTGGAAGTTGAAAGGTTCAAAACCCCGTTGGCCTCCACGAAGGTCGCGCGCTTTTATGTGAAAATGTCCAAAGACATCTGCTGCTAAACGTCAAACAAGATAGGTCGTAAAATTGTTTTGGTGATACTGTAATTAAATTAGCTGCATCAGATGAGGTTGGCTGGTACTTTTCCAAATGAAATTTATACTAGATCTCTGCTGGGATTAATTTTAGAGCAATGGGAGACAAAGCATTTGGTTTGAGATGGCCTTACAAATAAACTATTGAATAAAATACAGTCAAACCACGCTAATACGTACACTGAGGGAGCCATAGAAAGTGTCCGTAATAACGGGGTGTCAGTATAAAGCGGGTTGTCATTTAGAGAAAACGTAAGGGCTTTCTTTCCCTAGGGACAAAGCAAACTGTCCGTATTAATGAGGTGTCCGAATCAAGTGAGTGTCCATGTTAAGTGGGTGTCCGTATCAAGTGGGTGTCCGTATTAAGTGGGTCTCCATATTAAGTGGGTCTCCATATTAAGTGGGTGTCCGTGTTAAGTGGGTGTCCGTACTAAGTGGGTGTCCGTATTAATGAGATGTCCCTATTAAGTGGGTGTCCGTAAGGCGGGGTTTGACTTGTATTTAGGCTGGGAAATGAATGGGGATAAAACGTGTACACGCACTGTAGATAGAAAATTAACAGATGATTGCTTAAGCTTGTATTTTAAGACAAGGAGAATGGAAAAATTATATATATTTAGTCATTTTAGGTGACTATAAAATTTTAAACATATGGGGCCAAATATTTAAACGAAGTCTAAGTTAAGCCGCGGTTTAACGAATCTTTGGACCTCCAGATCTCTTTCTTAGTGGTTTGTTTTAAGAAGATAAATGCTTTTCTAGTCTTCCCTATATGCTTTTATAAAACTGTTCACAATAAATGATGTTTAGATAAAATCATACGGGTTAGGAAAATTGAAAATGACTTAGAACGCTGTTTTGTTAAACACTGGCTAAACTACTTTTAAATATTTGGCCCATGGAGTCGACAATTGAAGAATCTCTAAGATTCAATATAGTATGTGCTAATCGTAAGAGTATTCAGATATGATTATATGATATAATTCAAGATTTTTTTGTAACAAAGAAATTCTATGCTACCCTATAACTGCTATGCAGTTGTTTCTCTTCCTTTACAACTGTTTTGCCTTTCAATTTATACACGCAGGTCGTGAGAGATTGATTTTCGTTTAATCTTCCTCGTTAGTTGTGACTTCTTAGTTCTTTTTTTTTCTGTGTTGTAATCTTGATTGATACACTGTATTTTAGAGGTTTGAAATAAAAAGTTGTCCGCCCTATTTTCACTATCATTAATTTAGCGACAATGGTACAACTGAATGGCGTGGATCCCGAGACCTTCAGATTGGGGGGGGGGGGGGGGGGGGGGGGGGGGGGAGACGGTCATCCAGACCCTGAGATAACGGGAAGGCGGTCTCAAAAACAATTGTTTTCGGCCCTTCGGGTCTCATTTTCGTCTAAAAATAAAGGGGGGCGACCCTCAGGCCCCTCCCCTGGATTCGCTACTGCAACTGTTACATGTATTTTTGTTTAAAACATTTAAATACTCAACCTCGTTCCCAGGTTCTCTCCCCTACCCGTACGGGTAGGAGAGAACCCTGGGAACGAGGTTGTTAAATACACTGAAAATTAAAAAGATCTGTTTCGGCTAAAAATGTCAATTCATCTGCCGACAAGGCCAAAGTTAGTGATTCATCCCCTCGTGGAGCCATTTGAGCACAAGTAATTCAAAACAATCTCACCCAAAGGCTATTCCAACCCATGCTGAGACTCATTTCAGCCCCTCGGTACAAATCAGCCCCAGGTAACTGGGCTGTATTGGTCCTGATTAAGGGAGCCAAATTAGACCCAAAAAATAGGACTGTGTTTTAACCACCAAAACGACCCAATTTTAAGGGCTGAAACAGTGTTTATTCACGAGTGAAAGAAAAATGAATTTTAAAAACAATAATAATGTTTTAAAAACAAAAAACTGTAACCCTTCTGAGTGGGACAAGTTTTCTCCCTATACCTTCCCACCTTTATCATGTTAACCGATGGAGTGGATAAATATTAAAAACCAAGCTGTTTACAATGGAAACGAATACAGTATGTGTAACTGCCTCTTTAGTGTTATACTTGTTTTAATACTTGTTTTTACAGATTTCACCTTGTCAGATGAGCTTGAAAAAGGGCTTTCTGTCCTTCAAGTGAATTTATTACGAATTCTCAATTTGTCTTAAAGTACAGGTGTAATTTGACTTCCCCCGAAAACTTATCTCGCGCGATGGCAAAATCCACTTACCCTGGGCTATCGGACTCTCAAATTTCCTTGCACGCTGCGACAACGTGTGGATCTATCATTATCAATAATGTTTAAAAAAAACTTTTCAGTAGTTCAAAAATATGCCAAAAAAATTATTGAGTATTTTGAAAATTGTTTAAAAGTGAGTTTTTATACCTGAAGTTTTCTTTGCCCTTGCAATCGCGCCCCCGAATTGGCGAAAAAAGCGAAAAAAAAAAAACGATTGTTATGCAGGCTATTACTCCTGGACCAAGATTATAGGTGGAATTTATGAAAAAAAAGAAAAAAAGACTAGACTAGCTCGCAAGCAAGATGAGGAGGCCCTCTCTCTTTAAAAACAAAACCGCGTTTTGAACGGAACGAAGAGAATATATGTGTGGTTAGCTAATAGTTGTCTCTGTTGAATCAATGCGTTGACTTTTGAGCCTTCTCAAAATGATGATAAAAATTAAAAAACTCTGGTTACAATTTTATCGTTAAGCTGCATTTATTTAAAACCGCATACTCTTGTAAAAGAGAAATCAGGCTTCACAGTTTTTTTTTTCGTGTGTGTGTGTGTAAAACAAACCCTTGCTGGGTTTCGTTTACAGGAGCGAGATTTCACGACTTAACAATTTTTTCTTTTTTCCACAAAATATAAAATCTAGCCGGTTTTTCCGCTTAGGCCTAATGTTTCACGCGCCCAAGACATTCAAAGAATATATTTGAATTTATTAACTTCCCAATTCCCAATTGCCCTGAAGTGTATGTGGTAAACAACCCTTGTTCTCGCTACATAGACACGTGCAGTAAACCAGATCCAATCAGAAATTATTATTCAAATCAGAACGTTGCTCCGCGCTACATTCAAAAATTGCTAACTTCGGTTGCGGACGCTGCTAGTGAAGGTTTCTCAAGAAAGAAAAGGAAGACGCTCTCAAGGCATAATAAACTCGCTATCCGTCTTTCCCAGCTTCACGACAAGGAAGCTAACTATCATGGAAGCAGTCTTGGATGTTAAACCAGCGCCTGAGGTAAATTACATGTTTAAGTTACCGCCA